GCAGTGGCTCACACCTGTAATCCTAACACTCAGGAAGGCCAAGGCAGCACATCACCTGAACAAGAGTTCAAGACCAGCCCAAACAAGAGTGTTATCCCATCTCTACCAAAAACAGAAAAACTCACTGGGTATTGTGGCAGGTACCTATAGTCTCAGCTACTTGAGAGGCTGAGCCAAGAGCTTGAGGTTGCTGTGAGCTATGACATTACGGGATTCTACCAGGGAGGCATAATGAGAGTGTCTCATAAACAAAAATAACTTAGATAGGATACAGGAACAATACAATCTTTTTGCTTTCCCCTTAATTGAAGGATATATGCTAATCTAGAGATTCCCTTCCCAACACTTCATATGCCTAAGTTTAGAGGACATACTTTTGAAGCATTTCAATGGAATTTCTAGGTGGGAAAACAGAAGAAATCAGTCTGAAGAAAGGAGATCTCATGGTTGGTAGAAATGGTATGGGTAAGACAGTAGAAAGAAATATCTGTAACCTTTAGAAGTGACTTGATTGAACATGTGAAAAGATTTGGGTTTAGGTGCCTGCCCCATATACCAAGGGTGGAGGGTTCAAACCCAGCCCCAGCCGAACTGCAACCATAAAAGAGCCAGGCGTTGTAGTGGGCGCCTGTAGTCCCAGCTACTCGGGAGGCTGAGGCAAGAGAACCACCTAAGCCCACGAGTTGGAGGTTGCTGTGAGCTGTGTGATGCCATGGCACTCTACCCAGGGCAATAAAGCCAAAAAAAAAGATTTGGCTTTAAACACTAAGACAGTCTAAAATTAAGCTTAAAAAGCACAAAATTATGTTAAGAGAAAAAAATTAACATAGTATTAATAAGATAAAAAAAGAGAAAGAATTTGTCAATTTGAATACAAAGTATTACTTGAAATACTAAGTAATACTTGAAAATAAGTATTAAATTTTATCTTGGTTGGGTATGGTGGCTCATGCCTATAATCCCAGTATTCTGGTAGGCTGAGGCAGGTGAACTGCTGGTTTGAGACCAGCCTGAGCAAAAGCAAGTCCCTGTCTCTACTAAAGAAAACAGAAAAAAACTAGCTGGGCATTGTGGCAAGGGCTTACAGTCCCAGCTACTTGGGAGGCTGAGGCAAGAGGATCACTTGAGCCCAAGAATTAGAGGTTGCTGTGAATATGACACCATGGCATTCTACCCAGGGTGACACAGTGAGACTCTTTCTCAAAGAAATAAATAAGTAAATAAATTATTAAACGAAATTTGTCTCACTGTGAATTAGCCTGGCCTTTGGGTAGTATTTTGTCAAACATTTCCAGTCTGTAAGTTGAAAGGGACATACAGGAAGTGATGTCCTTCTCCTTGGACTTTAACAGTAACCAACCTTCCAAGTACCTCATCTTCTCTTTACCATGGTTATCAGTATTTCTATCCTCTTGACTAAATTTACAGAAACAACGCCCTCAAGTACCTGCATTAACAAATGACAGGAAATGGGGATCTGATGGGCTGAGGCCAATCATTCACCCACTACTGAGTTCTGAATCCTTCAGAAGGGAAAAGGAAAGAACATTAAATGGAGTCCAATAATAAACATGAAAGCTAAAGGTCTGGATTGTTGTACCTGGAATGAAGGAGGCCTGAGGGGAAGGCTGCGACACCACCAGGCAGCTCAGAACATCAGAGTATGCCATGATTCGGCAATTTCCTGTCTGAGACACTGTGAAGGTCTTCTGGAAGTGGTACTTGTGCTGGCTCTGGCTGGAGGGCAGGCCACTCAGCAAACGTCCTTGGGAGCTGCTGGATTCCTGTACAATCTGACTCCGATGCTGCACAATAAGTTTTTGCAAGTCCTAAAATGAAAATGATTTTATAAATGCAAAGCCTTTTCTTTTCTTTTTTGAGACAGAGTGTTACTATGTCACTCTCGGTAGAGTGCCGTACCATCACAGCTCACAGCAACCTCAAACTCTTGTGCTTAAGCAATTCTCCTGCCTCAGCCTCCCAAATAGCTAGGACTACAGGCACCTGCCACAGCACCTGGCTATTTTTTTGGTTGCCATTGTCATTGTTGTTAAGCAGACCCAGGTCAGGTTCCAACATGCCAGCTTCAGTGACTGATGCCCTTCTCACTGAGCTACAGATGCTGAGCCAATGCAAAGCTTTCTCATTTGAC